ATGCATAAAAGGATACAGCAATAGAGAGGGATGAAGGAAGGGAAGGAAAATTAGAGTAGGAGTGAGGGTAAGAGAGGGAGGAAGAGAGGAGGGGAAGGAGAAAGGAGGAAGTAGGGAGGAGAAGAAGAGGGGGAGGAAGAGAAAGTAAGAAGAAAAGAAAAGAGAGAGGTGGTAGGTTTGAGGAGAAAGATTGCTGTACAATAAAAAAGATGAAAGGGAAGAAAGCCAACCCCAAACAAATATAAAGATATTAAGATAAAGAATGAATTGTTAAACTTTAAAGAATAAAAGAGAACAAATATGAATAAATAGCAATAATTAGAAACACACATACAAACATACAATGTATTTTCTTTGAACAGAGTATTTGGCCGGTTCACAAATTTAAACAGTGTTTAGTCATTTCAATTAAATTTACAATTTCTATATTTCCTTTTTGCCATATTTATTCCTCATCTATTTTTGTAAAAAACCAATATTACCCTCATCCTCATCTCTAATCTTAATCAAATTCAATTTTTTCCTTCTATTCTATATTATACCCCTTCCCATTGTCATCTATTTTTATATCCATCCTCACATTGGTTAATTATGTAATATTAGTTGTTTAATATAAATTCAACATTTTAATATAAATCAATTAGTTATATAACTACCTTTTTTGTATATTAATCAATATGAACATGAATATTCCAATTATTTCCATGCAATCCAATTTCTTACAAATCCATTAATTATATTTACCAATAATAATAAACCAAATAATTTCCCCCATATATTCCTCCAAACCACAACTTAACCATTTCTGCTTTCAGAAATATACAATTAATAGTATCTCAATTATTACAATTCCCTAGTTAAATAGAGCTTTTTTTCTTTTGTGTTTTAAAATCTCCTCTTTTTCCCTAAATTTCTAGTTGTTTGCACCTACCTTTTTTGGTGAGGAAAAAGAAAAGAAATCTGCCTGCCTAATTTTCCAACGTGCAAAGCCAACAGCCTGCTTTACTTTCTCTTTCGTTTTTGAGTATAGCTAGGGGGAAAAAAATCTGCACTTTCCAAGCAAGCAAAAGAGCCCTGAGCAAAACAGCTGAGAGCAAATCAGCCGGGGGTCGGGAGCCCATCAAAGCAAGGGCTAATTAGCCTATGCTGAAGCTCCGTGGGCCAATAAAATTACAAAAAAAACACCGAACCCTTTGTTAAATTGCTGGCTCCCCCGCCCCTCGCCCACGACTATTGATTGGCAATAAATAGTGGTGCGGAGGGGCGGGGCAAGCCAGCAATTTAACAAAGGGTTCGGCTGCACCACTGGCTCTAGGGCGGCCCTTTGAAGCCCCGCGGCAAGAATTTGAAGTTTTTTTTTCCTCTAGCCATCGGAGGCAGCAATAGATGGGGAGTGGGCGGGGTAAGCGAACGGCCGGCGATCCAACAGAGCAGAGAGGGAGGGTGAGTGAAGGCGTGGAAGCTGCTTTCCCCATCCTGCTTTCTTGCGTCCGGAGCCGGTGGGGAACGTGGCAGCCCACGTGGATCCCAGGCAGCGGAACTCAGGCTAGGGAAGGGGTGGGCAATTGTGGCTCTTTTACAACCTGTGGCCTTCAACTCCCAGAATTCCTCAGACAGCCACAGGTTGTAAAAGAGCCACAATTGCCCACCCCTGGCTACGGTAGGCTGGCGCCGCGCGGGTGGGAGGCGAGGGGCGGGCGAGCCACCAATTTAACAAAGGGTTCGGCCGAACCCCCAGAATCCCACCACTGTGTAGGCCCCTCTTGATCTTGAGGCCCTAGGCTGAAGCCTAGTTAGCCTATAGGAAAATCCGGCCCTGCCCCCCACCACCCGTTTTTTGTCCCAGGAGGCTGCAGGGAGGCCTGCTAGGCCCAAAATGGGGGGACAGGGGAAGCGGGAGGGACTCACGTGTAGATACGGGGGGGGGTCATGCGGGGCGGCAAGCAATACATTATGGGTGCCAGCACACACATGCTGTTGCACGTGCGCACTTTCGGCACACGACGACAAAAAGGAGCTTGTTAAATTGTTAAATAAGTCGTGCCTAGTTTATGTCCTTTTTTTGCTATGGTTGGTTAGCAGATCACGACAATTGTTAAGTGACTCACGTGTCGCTATACAAATCCATCTTCCCCCATTGGCTGCTTGCCAAAAGCCAGCTGGGAAGGTTGCCATCGCTGATCAAATAACTCTGGGATACGGCAACCACTGTAAATACACACTAGGTTTGTCGAGTGCCCAAATTTTGTTCATGCGAGCATGGGGGGGGGAGGTGCTGTGACAGTCGTAAGGAGGAAGATCTGTCATAAGTCACTTGCTTTCAGTGCCGTTGCAACTTTGAACGGTCACTAAACGAATGGTTTTGACCTACGCAAAAGCCCTTTTGACACTTTGGCTAATGCCAAGGCCCCTTTCCACAGAAATGAAATTGTTGTTAAGCGAATCACTGCAGTTGTTAACTGAGTAACACAATCGTTCAGTGTATGTGGCTTTCGCCATTGACTCTGCCTGTCAGAAGGTCACAAAAGTGGATTCACATGACCGCAAGACACTGCAACCGTCATAAATATGAGTCAGTTGCCAAGCGGCTGAATTTTGATCGTGAGACCCTGGGGATGCTGCCATGGTCGTAAATGTGAAAACGGTTATAAGTCACTTTTTTCATTGCCGTTGTAACTTTGAACGGTCACTAAGCAAACTGTTGTAAGTCGAGGACTCCCTGTATAAGAAACCACTTCAGAAGAAGAATGTGTGGCTACCTTCGACAGCTGGGCCTGCCAATACCTTCCTCTCGAATACAGGGAGTCCTCGATGTATGGCCGCAATTGAGCCCAAAGTTTCTGTTGCTAAGCGAGATATTTGTTAAAATAGATTTTGCCCCATTTTACGACCATTCTGGCCACCGTTGTTAAGTGAATCACTAGTTGTAAGGTTATAACACAATTGTTAAGCAAATGTAACCCTTTCCTGTTGAATATGCTTGGCAGACGGTCACAAAAGGGGATCACATGACCCCGGGACACTGCGACCGTCATAGATATGAACCTGTTGCCAAGCAAGTCCGAATTTTAATCACATGACCATGGGGAGGCTAAAATGGTTGTAAGTGTGAAAAACGGTCGTAAGTCACTTTTTTCAGGGCTGTTGTAACCGGTCACTAAATGAACTATTGTAAGTCGAGGACTACCTGTAAACTTCCTCTTTGCTTCAAGTACAGGTAGTCCTCGACTTCAACAGTTCATTTAGTGACCATTCAAAGTTACAACGGCAATGAAAAAAATAACTTGTGACTATTTTTCACACTTACGACCGTTGCAACATCCCCATGGTCACACGCTCAAAATTCAGAAGACTCGTATTTATGACCGTTGCAGTGTCCTGGGGGGTCACATGATCAGCTTTTGCGACCTTCTGACCAGCAAAGTCAAGGGAGAAGCCAGATTCACTTAACAACCGGCTTCCTAATTTATCAACGGCAGTGATTCACTTAACAACGGAGGCAAGAAAGGTCGTAAAATGGGGCACAGCTCACTTCGCACATGTTTTCCCGAACAACAGAAATTCTGGGCTGGATTATGGTCGTAAGTGGAGGGCTACCTATACAGACCTCCCTTGCACCCTTCAATTTCTACTCTGCACATGCTGGAAGACCGAAGGCTGACCCAGAAGTCAGCAGGAAACGGTTGAAGCCCTTTAAAAAAAAACAACTTTCTATGTTTCTCAGACTTGGCTGTCCCAAAGGGGCTTTTTTTCCCCAAGAGGCAACTGAACTTTCTGGCTTTTCTTTGAAAAAAGAGCCTCTTGGGAAAAAAAGCCCCTTTGGGACCACCGTGACCTGGATGACTGAGAATCTCCATAATGTTGGAGATGTGATTGTTTAGATGCTACATATTACCATGTTTGGTGGAATTGCAAGAAAGTTAAGGCCTTTTGGATTAAAATATGGTGGGTTATGCAGAATGTTTTGAAGAAAAAAATTCAATTTTCTCCATAATTGTTTTTATTGGGTATAGTAAAGGGTTTTACATTGGATGAAACCAAGTTGATATTGTACATGATAACAGCAGCGAGATTATTGATAGGTAAATATTGGAAAAATGAAGCTTTACCCACTATTGAAGAATGGACTTTGAAGATGGCCAGTTTTGCGGAGATGGCGAAGATTTCAGCATATTTAAAAGATCGCTCACAAGAGACTTATGAATGGGAATGGAAAAAATGGATAGATTATGTGCAGAATAAATACCAAGTTAGGAAGTATCAAATAGCTTTTCATTGAAAGTATTATATAAAAATAGAAATGTATGAATTGTGAAGGGAAAAAAATTATAAGGGGGTTTGAGGGGTTCAAGTTTTATAAAAAAGGGGATTTTGATGGGATTATATTTTGTGGAAGTCAGGGGGGGAGGGTTTGGGGCGGTTTGGGGGGGTTAGGGTGGGGAGTGAGGGGTGGGTTGGGGGGGAAAAAGTGGGGTGAAAATGTAATTGTAAAACTTTTGCAATAAAAAAAAAAAAGAATCTCCATAGACGCTCAGACTTTGCTCATCGCAGGGAGTGTCAAAATCAATTAAATTTGGCAATTATAATAACAAGGATCGTAGCCGGAACAGTTAATTATTATTTTGGTCTCAGAAGAAGCAAAGGAAGGAGCAGCCATTTTATTACTTTTTTTCGAACTTCCCCAAATAGCCAGCTGAGATACTACGGAGCCTAAAAGGAACGCAGGCTCCTCACCCACCCCACTCCTCGCCTGCGCCCCTCCCCTCAGGCCCAGAGAACCCTCCCTCTTTTCCCAGCATTCCCCCCCCCTCCAGTTCTGCCCCTCCCCCCAAAAGGCGGAATCCCTGGACGGGGATTTCCTGATGTAACTTTCGCTTTCCTTTCCCCTCCTCTCTGGCCGTTTGCGCCTGGACGTCTACCTAGCAACAATGACGACATGGGGATTCTTTTTTTCTACTGGTTGAGCTTGGCCAATCGCCGGCTTGTTCTGGATTGTTGCGTTGTTTCTCACCCGGGGCGTCTCTTCGTTGGCCTGCAATTTCCAGAAAGCTGAGAGGCAGTTTGAGGATCGCGGCCAGGATGGCTCTGCGCTCTGCTCCCCTTTTGCTCCTGGTGTTGGTGACGGTCGCCCTGCGGGAGAGCTGCTTCGGTGAGTCCCTTCGGGGGCGGTTCTTTTGCTGGGGGGGGGATCTATCCAAGGAATCTCTCTCTCTCTCTCTCTTTCTCTCATTCAGCCCCCTAAATCTTACCTCTTTCTCCTCCGCTTCCCTCCCCCTTTCTGGCCCCTCTCAGAAGGGACCTCAAAGCCTGGGTTGGATTCTGCTGCCCCTTACACACACACACACACACACACACACACACACACTGACAGGACAAGGGGTGGACCCTCCAGAGGTCAGTCAAGTCTACCTGGGTGCCCCCCCCCAAGCGCAGTTCTTTCCCTCCCCCAATGTGGAGGTTGTCAGAAAGCAGCATTTGCCTTGGATCAGATCAATTCACAAACTTCCTGGCTGCCTTCAGCACCACAACTCCGCCTGGGTCTTCCTTCCTACTTTGGGGCAAGGTTTGGTGGCTCTTTCTGGCTTCTTCTGGTGCTGGGAGGATCCGGCTTGTTTCTCGACTCGGTTCTGTGTATTTCAGACAGGGAGGTTGTGGCGTCACCTGAAACCCCCCTAACTCTGCCCCTCTCGGTCTCTTCCAGGTGCTTCCTCCCACTCCATGAAGTATTTCTACACCGCCATCAAGGACCCCGGTCAGGGGCAGCCCCACTTTGTCGCTGTGGGGTACGTGGATGGTCAGGTCTTTGTTCGTTATGACAGCAAAACCCAGAGGATGCAGTCTCAAGTCTCCTGGATGGAGAAGGTGGGGAAGGAGGATCCCCAATACTGGGACACTCAGACCAAGATAGTACGTAACACTGAGGAGTCGTTCAGAAGAAGCCTGGAGACTCTGAGGAATCGCTACAATCAGAGTGAAGGTGAGTGATGGGTCGGGTGGCTCCTCTGGCCCCATAATCCCCTCCCCAGGAACCATGGGGGAGAGAGTCCCTCCCAAAGGAAAGGCTGCTACCATATTTTTTAAAAAGGTTTTTAAAAATATATTTATTCTTTTAAAAAAATAATAATGTAAGTTTATCCTTGGCCCGTAACTAAAACTCTCTGTGCAGAGTACAGGTATTAAAACTTTTTAATACTCCAGCGCCTTTTCTGATCCCAGCAAACCAAAGGGAGATTTGGCAATTGCCATTTTCCTGGTGAGGATCAGAGGCTTCATCGAACTTCAGAGACCCAGGCCATTGATGAAGGATGGAGAAGGGGGGCAAAGAGGCCTTCTTTCCCTTGAACACTAAGGGAAAATGGGGTTGTCAGTTTTCCTTTCTGGAGAATTTGAGGGCGGGGACTTTTTAGCCACGCAGAACTCTAAGAGTAACGGGGGTGTTTTCAGGGGCAAAATCCTCTTGATCTTTTCCCTTAGGGAGGGCAGAGTCTTTCAATTCCCTTGACTTCCCCCATTCCTCTGGGAAGCAGAGGAACTGGGGGAGGGTCCAGTGTTGAAATCTGAATATTTTCGTTACTGGTTCTGTGGGCGTGGCTTGGTGGTCATGTGACTGGGTGGACGTGGCCAACTTGACATCACTCATTTTTAGAGCGAAGAGCTGCACATTCTGCCCTTCTGAAGCCCTCCCTCCACCATCTGACTTGACTGCCCAAGCGAACCTCAAAGAGTTCTCTTGTTCCGCTCTCCATCCTGGAGGACTGTGCATCACGCCTCTGCCAATCCTCCGTACAAACCGCCTGCCACGTTTCTGCAAAGGCAGAGCCCCACCCCCCACAAGGCAATCCAAAGAGGGGAGGGGGATGCAGCAGAAAAGACCGCCTTCCACCCGTGCCTCCTGTGCAGGCTCCGCGGGGCTTGGGGCTCCAAAGCAGCCCACTGGATTCCCACAGGAATTCGGCCTCTCCGCCCACGCCATGTTCTGCTCTGGCCAGAAGATGGCCAGAGTGTGACGACTTGCTCTTCAGCAAGATGAAGAGCTACCCACACTGGCTTGCCCAGCTAAGCGCCGCCACCCAGGCCGAAGGGAAAGTGCTGCAGGTATCGTGGTGGCATGGCTGGGCCTGCCTCTTTCCCTGCATGGGGGGGCTGCTGCCCCACCAGTGGCTCCCGCTCCTCTTGCTCCACTTCTTCCCCACCAGGAAGCAGTGCTGCGGCTGAGCCTCCTTCCCCCAGAGTGCTGGACTCCGCGGGCCCAGTTCCCGGAGTGGCGCCAGCAAACAGGTGGCCGGGTGGGAATTGAGTGGGCTGCTTTGGAGCCCCAAGCCCCGCACAACCTGCACGGGAGACACGGGTGGAAGGCAGCCTTTTCTGCAGCATCCCCCTCCCCTCTTTGGATTGCCTTGCGGGGAGGGGCTCTGCCTTTGCAGAAACGGGGCAGGGTGGGGCAAGCAGTGACTGGGGGACTGGTTTAGAGGCGTGGCCAGCCTGCGGTCACTGTCGGTTCTGTGACCCAGGCCATATGACTGCTACCGGTTTGCCCGAACTGGTAGCATTTCACCCCTTGAAGGCTCCCTCACTTGGCTTCTCTCTGGGGAAAAAGAGGATGTGAGAATTGGATCCTCTATCATTTTGGGGATGGGGAACCAGAGCCCGCGTTTTGGGTTTGTGAGAATGCAAAAGTCTCCGTGGAAGGTATGATCAGAGTACCAGGAGGCAAATGGGGGGAGAAAGGAAGGGTGGGGGTTTCCCTGAGGAAAAAGCTTCTGAGCAGCCTCTCTTGGAGCCTTTCAATGGATGTTCGGGGGTCTCCTTGTCATCTCCCTTCCAGCTTTTGGCTCTGTGTTGAGAGTCCAGATGGAGGATTTGGGCCTCTGAGGATCCGAGGCAAGGCTGGTGCTGCTTGTTCTCCTTTTGCCCAGAAGGAGCCTTTGGGGGAGGGAGAAGATGGAGGGGAACATGGGAGGATGGCTGGGTCTGGAGACCTACAAGGTCCAATATGGAGGATCTCAAGTCTCATCCAGAGGGACCTGAATAGCTTCATAGGGAAAAACGTATTTCTTTTATTTTCCATCCATTTTATCCCTTTTCTCGCTCTGTTCCTCCTGTCTCAGTGTCCCAACAGGGGAGCGGGCTTTGTGTCTCTCTTGGGGACTCCACAAAACATCTTCCTGTCCCTCTTTCCAGGCCTTCACACACTGCAATGGATGTACGGCTGTGAAGTCTGCGCAGACGGGACCAAAGGAGGGTTTATGCAGTTTGGCTACGAAGGGAGGACCTTCCTCACCTTCGACCCGGAGACCCTCACCTGGGTGGCTCCCGACCCTCAGGCCCAGATCACCCAGAGGAAATGGGATGCTCTTCCAGGAAAGAACCAGAGAAACAAGGCCTACCTGGAGGAGGAATGCACTGAGTGGCTGGAGAAGTATCTGTCCTATGGGAATAAGACACTGCAGAGGACAGGTGAGCATTTGGTCCAGGCTGGACTTTCCTCCTTTATGACCGGGTTTCTTGTACACATTCAGCCCATTTGGGTTCCTGGTCTGCAGCCTGTTTGCCCTGAAAGGAATCCTTCTCCTCCCCTCCCAGCCACTCTCCAGGATGCAGAAAGTTCTGTTGGGTTCCTATTGCCGGGCATCCATTAACATAAAATGCACTTTCTCCCCTTGCAAGATGTAGTTGTGGCTGGCCAGGATCAAGTGTCTGTGTGGATCAGCAGCAAATCCTTGGGATGAAACTAAGTAGTGGGAGACTTTCCTGCCCCTTCAATTTTTTGATCTGCCTTCCAGGCTCTGGAGGGGCTCAATTAATTCTGGGGATGCCGTTTCTGCAGAGACCCCAAAGGTGACGGTGAGAAGGACGGAGGTGGAGGATGGGATGGAAATGCATGTCTACCGCTTGGATGGCTTCTACCCCAAGGAGATCGATGCCTCCTGGACGAGGGACGGGGAGGTCTGGCTGCAGGACACCCTCCGTGGGTTTCTGGCCCCCAATGCTGATGGGACCTACCACTACTGGATCAGTGTCAAGATCGATCCCAAAGAGAGAGACCGTTATCACTGCCACGTGGAGCATGACAGTCTGCGAGAGCCTCTGGACTTGGAACTGAAGGGTGAGAGGCTGTAGGGAGGGGAAGGCTGGGCTCTTTGGCAGCCTGGAGGGTTGTGGGAGAGGAATCTGACCCCAATTGTGTCCAGGTGTGAACATACCTGAGCTTTAAGCCATTGGTTTTTCCAGTGTTGGAGGTTGGTGAAGCTGCAGGGACCAGACCATAGAACTGGCTTCAGGTGATGGAAACTACAGAGTCCCATCACAATACTTGGCCGATCCTGATGAAATGCCCTTAGATCCTCTCTGAGGCCTTCCCTGTTTCTTGCCCCCAGCAGAAAAGCAGCAGTTCCTCTGAGCACCAGAAAGAGATTTGCTTTTGTTTACAGTTCCTAAAGTAGAAGAATCAGGAGGAGTCTGGTAGCCCCTTTTCTGAATGCCAAATTTTGACTAAAATTGATGAACTGCAGCCAGTGGTGAAATGTAAATTTTGTTACTACTGGTGCTGTGGGCATGGCTTGGTGGAGGGGGGGTAATGTGACTGGGTGGCCGTGGCCAACTTTTTTTTTTTTTACCTTTTAAAACCATTTTTTCTATAACCTCTTTGGCCGAAGAGGTTGTAAAAAAATGCTTTTAAAAGCTTCTGACGATCCCAGCTGGGTTGCCTGACCAGCAGAGGCCTTTTTTTTTCTTTTAAAACCATTTTTTCTACAATCTCTTCAGCCAAAGAGGTTGTAAAAAAATGCTTTTAAAAGCCTCTGACGATCCCAGTTGGGTTGCCTGATCAGCAGAGGCCTTTTTTTTTCTTTTAAAACCATTTTTTCTACAATCTCTTCAGCCAAAGAGGTTGTAAAAAAATGCTTTTAAAAGCCTCTGACGATCCCAGTTGGGTTGCCTGATCAGCAGAGGCCTTTTTTTTTCTTTTAAAACCATTTTTTCTACAATCTCTTCAGCCAAAGAGGTTGTAAAAAAATGCTTTTAAAAGCCTCTGACGATCCCAGTTGGGTTGCCTGACCAGCAGAGGCCTTTTTTTTTCTTTTAAAACCATTTTTTCTACAATCTCTTCAGCCAAAGAGGTTGTAAAAAAATGCTTTTAAAAGCCTCTGACGATCCCAGTTGGGTTGCCTGATCAGCAGAGGCCTTTTTTTTTCTTTTAAAACCATTTTTTCTACAATCTCTTCAGCCAAAGAGGTTGTAAAAAAAATGCTTTTAAAAGCCTCTGACGATCCCAGTTGGGTTGCCTGATCAGCAGAGGCCTTTTTTTTTCTTTTAAAACCATTTTTTCTACAATCTCTTCGGCCAAAGAGGTTGTAAAAAAATGCTTTTAAAAGCCTCTGACGATCCCAGTTGGGTTGCCTGATCAGCAGAGGCCTTTTTTTTTCTTTTAAAACCATTTTTTCTACAATCTCTTCAGCCAAAGAGGTTGTAAAAAAAATGCTTTTAAAAGCCTCTGACGATCCCAGTTGGGTTGCCTGATCAGCAGAGGTCTTTTTTTTTCTTTTAAAATCATTTTTTCTACAATCTCTTTGGCCAAAGAGGTTGTAAAAAAATGCTTTTAAAAGCCTCTGCTGATCAGGCAACTCAGCTGGCATCGTCAGAGGCTTTTTTTTTTTTTTTTACTTTTAAAAGCATTTTTTGACTGAAGAGGTTGTAGAAAAAATGCTTTCAAAAATAATTTTAAAAAAGCTTCTGATGATTGCGCTGCTCAGCTGGACATGGGGTGGGGGCAGCGATTTTTGCTACCGGTTCTCCGAACAACCCGCCGCTATCGCTACCAGATTGGGTGATCTAGTCCGAACCGGGAGCATTTCACCCCTGACTGCAGCTGACTTCAGGAAATGCAGAGTGGCTGAACTGATGCCTCAGGAGCCAGAAAAGAGGCTCCCAAATCTGAGTTTTTTCCATCAGAGACTAACAGGGTTTCCTGCTTTAAAGGTCAAATGTCATATGTGTTGCTGCTCTACGAAAGAGAACTATACATTATTTTATTTATTTATTTATTGAATTTATATTGCCGCCTATTCGCCCATGGTGACTCAAGGTGGCTTACAGAATATAAAACCACATTTAAAACAACAAAAACTAACAAAAAGAGTCAAATAAATTAATAAAGTTCAATATAACAAAATCACCCCCCAACTCCCACCCCCTGCCCTGATGACAGCAGATCACACGAGCCATTTAATGGGCTCCATCCCGTTCTGGGTTTCCCAGGCCCTCTGGCAGAACCAGGTCTTCAGCGCCTTCCGGAAGAGTGTTAGAGTGGGGCCCATTTTAATCTCCGGGGGGGATGATGTTCCAGAGAGAAGGAGCCATCACGGAGAAGGCCCTTCTTCTGGGTCCCACCAGGCGTATCTCTCTAGGTGGATGGGACTCACAGCATTCCCTGCCTCCCCGCTCTGGTGAGTTGGGTAGATGCAAGAGACAGTCCCTCAGATCACCTGATCCAAGCCATGAAGGGCTTTAAAGGTGAAAACCAGCACCTTGAATTGCACCCGGAAGCAAATCAGCAACCAATCATATGACATGATATGTGAATTCCTGAGGCTCAGCATAAAAACCAAGGGAAAAAATCCCTCTCTCAAAGAGTTCTGTATATGCTCATAAGTGTCCTTAACGGTTTTTACCCTGGACTTCCTAGGTTGCAAAATTCCAATTCCAATTTTTTATTGATGATTTTCACCACGATACAAAAAAGATTCAAATTTAATTGTTATACTGATATCCCAGGCAAAATAAAATATTCCTTTTATTTTTGTTGTTGTTTTTAGCAAGCATCAATTCACAAGTGGCATGATTGCTATTCAATGGGAATCCTGAATTTTATGCAAGAGAACTTAAAATTGAAAGTTCCCTCCTCAAACCTCCCCTCCCCCAAGCAATACCACTTTATATTGCCTTGGTAAGACCATACTTGGAATTCTTCATCAAGTTTTGGTTGCCACAATATAGAAAAGATGTGGAGACTCTGGAAAGAGTGCAGAGAAGAGCAAGAAAGATGATCAGGAGCCTGGAGGCTAAAATATATGAAGAGCAGTTGCAGGAATTGGGCATTTCTAGTTTAATGAAAAGAAGGACTAGGGGAGACATGATAGGTTCCAATATCTCAGGGGCTGCCCCAAAGAAGAGGGAGTCCAGCTATTCTCCAAAGCACCTGAGGGCAGGACAAGAAGCAATCGGTGGAAACTAAACAAGGAGAGAAGCAACCTAGAACTGAGGAGAAATTTCCTGACAGGGAGAACAATTCATCAGTGGAATGGCTTCCCTTCAGAAGTTGTGGCTGCTCCATCACCAGAAACATTTCAGAAGAGACTGGAGAGCCGCTTGTCTGGAAGGGTAGAGGGCCTCTGGAATGAGCAGGGGGTTGGACTGGAAGACCTCCAAGGTCCCTTCCAACTCTGTTATTCCGTTATTCTATTTCTGGCTTTTATGGGACCATCCAGAAGCTGCTCATCACCATATTCCATTTTCCATGCTAAAGTTCTGGAAGTAAAAAATACAATTTTATGCTATTTCTGGACTGGCCAAAGAAATGAAAGTTTGTACTTAAAAAAAAATGATTAGTGATATGAACTATTTTACTTTAAATAATAATATGCAAACACTCAAACTGAAGAAAAAAGCATGCAGATCTGCCTAATTCCACTCAGGGTCATGGCTTATTGGGGCAGCCTATAAAAACAAAACAAAAATGTTTTGTTTAACAAATTTTGTTTACATTATTGTGTTGGTGAAGTTTTGTTTTGAAAGCTAAGAGTCGCAAGGTGGCAAACGGCTGTTTTTGAGTGGAAAAGCCAAAGATGAATTCAGTTGCCTTCATGCTGGGCTGGGGTGAGAAGGAGGCAGCGTCATGAGGACACGTCCTCTAACAACGGTTAGCAAGGCGTCTTCGTGTTACCTTGAGAAGGAAACAAAAATGAGCCCATGGAGTTTTTAATTTGGGATATTTCCAGCTTTCACTTCTTTAGGTCTCTTCCCTGATTGGGAGGATTGTTCTCTGTCAATGATCTGCTCTTTCTCCCCATTCAGAACCAACCAATTCAAAATCCAACCCGTGGCTCATCTTCGGCTACGTTGTGACTCCTCTTGTAATGATTGTTGGGATTTTGGCTTTTATTTACTTTTGCAGTAAGTATTCTTTTTTGGATGATTGGGGAAAGATGGGGAGATTCTCCCCAAATCCCTCCCTTTGGGGAGCTGCTTCTGGGCTTCCTTTTGTCCTGTTTTCCCAGCCTTCTTGGGGAGCATCTGAGATCTCAGCCTCTTGCTGGGACTCCAGTCTCGATTCAGCTGAGTCTGAGATTCAGGCAGTCCTGTCTTCTTCTGAGCTGGGAAGAGGCATCCCAGTTCTATCCCTCTCAAAGGCCTTGATCAAAGAGCAGCAGAGAAGGATTTCCATGAAAATTTCCCCTACAGAGGGAGTGATTGGGTGATCTCTGGTGGATTCTTTTGAGCTTTCACTGATTTTTATCTTTTCAGAGACATATCAAAATGGCCTCAAAGCAGCACCAAGTGAGTGATTTGTCCTCTCCATGTAATCTCCAACCTAGAGCAGGGACCAGGGGCACCATTAGTTGAGAGGGGTGTGTGTATGTTTGTTTGTGTGTGGTATCTTCCTCTTTATCCTAAGAACCAAGCTGGGGAAGATGGGCCCCCTTTCATTACAGCCAGGTTGTTCTTGGAAGTGGAGTCTTCAAGGGGAAACATCTGGGAGAAGGAACCTTCAAGCAGATGAGAAGGTCCCTCTGAGTGAAAAAAAATGCCCTGTTTTCCAAGTAGGCAGAAAGGAAAGGCTTGAGAGTCAAATGGAGTCAGAAGCTCCATACAATCAGGGATCAAAAGGGGACATTTTGAGGGAAAAGGAGCTTTGGGCGATGCCAGCTGGATCTTCTTTTGGTCTCCTATCACAAGGCTCACTAAGTACAAACAAGTGACGAAGATAAACTTTGGATCCATCTGTATCTTTTTAGATCAGCTCTGCCTTCTGGTTTTGTGTGAATTCTTTCTGATGCCTTTTAGTCAGAGCAGTTTGATCCAAACTCTCTCCATCTATTTGTGGGTCTTTGATGGTGTGGGAGAGAGAAAGGGAGGGAGGGAGGGAGGGAGCTGGAGTCAGAAAGAGCTGAGCTTCTCCACCTATAAGCCGAGAGAGAGAGAGACCTCCTCACCCTCTTTTTCTTTCTTTCTTTTCCAGTAAGTGACAAAGGATCCTGCAGTTCAGACCAGGGTAAGTCGGAGGGAGCTGCTTCTTCTGCTGCTTGAGCCATTCTGTCCCCTTGCAAGACTTTGAGTGGATGAGGGGATGAAAAGAGGAGAGGCCCCCACTTTTAAAAATATTCTTTTTATTTTATCCCAATATTTTTTTGCTTTGGGACATGTCCACCACATATGATAATATGAACCTGGTATTTGGTTACATTTCCAACATTTAACAGATTTATCTTTGTACGTATTCGCTATTCTTGCAGGTGAAAATCGCCATTTTATAGAGATTTTCTTTACATGCTGTTGACATTGTATGCCTGTGGTTTCTATGCCATAATTTCTGCCATTTGTCTAATTCTATTGTACAGCCAAAATTCTTAGCCCAAGTTATCATAGTTTCTTTTACTTGTTCTTCCTCCAATTTAATAGTTAGTAAATAATTATATATCCTCTTACTTAATTTTTCATCTGTTCCCATTAGAATCTGATCTAGCTCATGTGGTTCTTTATAAAATCCATACGCCTTCCTATCTTTTTCATATCTGGATTGTATCTGTAATTGTGGCCACCATGATAGGTCAATCCCTAATCTGTTTAGTTCTTGTTCAGTTTTTAGTTCTCCCTTTTCATTGAGTATGTCCTTGGATCTTATAATTTTTTCCATATTCATAACATTTGGATGTATCAATGCCTCCATTGTAGATAGTCAAACTAGTATTTTCAAATAATGTTGCTCTTTAACTTTTAAAATCTCGTAGCATTTTTAATTTTATTCTCGCTTTTTTACCTTGCCATACAAATTTTAATATAATCTTATTTAATTCTTCAAAATATTTTTCCCCAGCTTTAATTCCAACAAGTGACACAGAATCCAACAGTTCAGACCAGGGTAAGTTGGAAGAAGCTGCTGCTGCTACTGCAAGAGCCATTCTGTCCCCTTGCGAGACTTTGGGTGGATGAGGGGATGAAAAGAGGGAAAAGCCCTCACTTTTTAAAGCCCCCCCCCAAATTCATCCTCCTTGGGTTCCCTCTGAGTCTGCTTCTGGTGGAATCATAAGAATAATTGGAGCCGTTTTGGCTTAGTGGTGAGGGCACCAGGCGAGACCATGAGTTCTAGTCCCGCCTTAGGCATGAAAGCCGGCCGGGTGTCACAAAATTCTCTTTCCTTGCACTGGTTCATCCTGCAGAGGAGAAGGGAAACTCTCCCTGTTGGATTCAGGCAGGGGAGGCAGCCCACAGTCTGCATGGTGGAGCCGGGCCCCCTTTGGAGGAAAGAGCTCTCAGTTCCTTGGTGGGAAATAGGAAAACCACTGGCAATGCCATAATCCCCAGTGGTTAGAGACTCTTTTGGTGGGATAGCTGAGATCTGGCTGAATCTGGAAGGGGAGGGGGGTTCCCTCTCTCAGAGATATGCCCAGCTGGGTTTAGGGTTTGGCCCCAACCGAGATCCCAGCCAGGATTGGTGGGTTTACAGTGGTCATCTGAGAATCTCTTCTGACACTCAGGTTGCTCCCACCCCATGATTCTGGTTGTGAGTCCCTGTTTCTGAAGCTGGGCTGACATGATGGGCTTGTTGCTACTGTACCAGCCTCCCTGCTGCATGGCCACCTCCCTGCCTCAGCTGCTGGGGGCCATCTCACGGATGTCATGGACTTGCCCAGGATTCTGGTCCTGGGAGACTTCAATCTGCCATCCCTGGGTTTGACCTCGGAAGCCGCCCAGGGGTTCATGGCTACCATGGCATTAGTGGGTCTCTCCCAGATCGTCCTGGGTCCGACTGGAGACAGCAGTAACACACTGAACATGATCTTCTTGTCAGAGCAATGGCAACATGATCTGATGGGGAAATCTGGTTTTTATTTATTGTTTTAAATATTCTATATGGCATTTTATTGAATTTTACTGTGAGCTGCCTAGAGTCACCTAATGAGATATTTGGGATGGAAGCTTAACTAATAAATTAAAAAAAGCTTTATGTCCTCTCAGACGTTTGTGAAGCTGAAGAGGTTTAATGGTGAAGAGGGAGATTTGTCCACCTCACAGGACAAGACATTGATTCATTCTGTGTCTTTTTCTCCAATCCAGGGAGCATCCAGACCGTTAGCAGCCTCCTTGCAGGTGAGGGGACTTGGGGGGGGGCGTATGGGGGGGGGAGAGGGAGGGAGGGAGGGGAGGGCTTTGGGGTCCAAGGACCAAGTGATAGTGAAGATACTTTGGAAATCCCTTTTCTCTCTCCTATTCATCTCAAACAATGGAAGGAATTTGGGGGAGAGGGCTCGGGGGAGGGGTCTTCCTGCCCCCAAACTCTTATCGTGTGGCACCTCTCAGGCTCTCACTGTCTTGATCCAGCTAACCCTTGGATATTTTTCCCTTCCTCTTTGCAGGGGACACGCCCAGCATAAAGATAGAGGAATGAGGAGGGATCAGCCTTCGTCTGAATTAGGCCGGACTCTTAGCAGGAGCCCTTCAAGCCCTTCCTGCATGCTGGAACCAGGAGAGATTTTGGGCCTTTCATCATTTCTTTTATCATTGAATCAGTAACCTTTTTCTTTTATGATGATTGAGGATCACAGGAGAAAAGAATATATTATGTGTTACCAATTGTGGAATCAAAAGAATTCAAATTGGGTTTTGTAGATCATAGTTTCTAATAGGTAGGTTGCCTAACAGCCTTAATGGGCTTTTGCTGATTAGTCTGAGTGGATGGAGATTAGAGGTTAAAGATGAGATTTTAGAGATGGGTTTATAGAGAATGGAAAATGAGGAATAGGATGAAGAGTTCGTTGGTTTTACTTTAAGAAAGATTGATAAATTGTTAATTTTCATTATGCTTATTGCAGATAAAGGTAGAGGTTACTTTTTCTTTTTTTTTTTCCTTGTGTTGGCTTTATCTGTTTAACAATAATCTTCAATGAAACTATTACTAAAAGAAGAAGTGTGCCTTCTGATTTTTTTTTCATTAAAATATTTTATTCACTTTTAATTGATTATTGCAGTTATTTGTCCATATATTTGATAACTAAATAATAAATGTGCCAAGTGTAACATTCAACACTGATTATTTATAGATTGCTATTTCTGGGTTTTCATGATTTAAAAAAGAGGAACATGAGATCTATTGCAGAGTCAGGCTGCTACCTCCTTAACAATTGCGTAAGCTTGCCAAAATCGTTTGCTGAAAGTAAATGATCTTTTCTTCTCATGTAAATTGCTTCCTGTTTGTGAGGATGGAAATAGGAGGGATTTTATCCTCCATGTTGCTCAGGGATTCCAATTTCATGGTAGGTAGAAGAAGTATCAAAGCAAATTTGGAAGGAGGGAGAACCGGGGTGGCTCCTGTGTGTTTTTGTTTTGGAAGGAGGCAACCATTTTGCTCCTACGTCCAGATGTTTCTCTAGCATCACCAGCTGACCTTCTGCAAAATGGCCATTTGGTTTTGGCTTGGTGGTGGCAGCAACAGAGGCTGCTTTTTCCTCAAATTCAAATTCAGATTGGGTTGAGTAGATATAGTTTGCAAAACCGGTAGTTACGTTGTTATTTCTGTTGTTGTTAGTCTTTTGCTGAGTAATATGAAGAAATAAGATTTTATAGATGGGTTCATAGAGAATGGGGGGAGGAAAGGAATGAAAAAAGGCACCCTGTTATTAAGCTGGTTATTAAGACCAGCTGCCTGCAATTACTGCAGGTTTGAATCTCACCAAGGCTCAAGGTTGACTCAGCCTTCCATCCTTTCTAAGGTAGGTAAATTGAGGACCCAGTTGTGGGGGCAATAAGCTGACTTTGTATAAATATACAAAAAAGGATGAAGGCTATTGCTGAGCACATTGTAAGCCGCCCTGAGTCTTCGGAGAAGGGCGGCATATAAATCAAATTAAAAAAAAAAAAAATTGCTTGAATTTACTTTAAGTTTAAGAGACAGTGATAAGTTTTTAATCTTGACCATACTTTCATATCTATTCTCTCTTTCTTTCTTTCTGCTTTTCTTTCCTATCTCTTCTATTTCTCTGTCTTTATCTATCTCTTCTATCATCTCTCTCTCTCTCTTTCTCTCCTATCTATCTATTCTATCTGTCTCATCTCTCTCCCTCTCCCTCTCCCTCTCTCTCTCTCTCTCTCTCCCTTTTTCTCTTTCTCTCTCTTTTGACAAGTCTATTGGGACAACCATGACCTGGATGACTGAGAAGCTCCATAGACATTTAAGATCGGTGGACTTCAGCTCCCAGAATTCCCCAGCTAGCATGCAATAACCAAAAAGGGTGCATTCTCAGATATAAGTACTTGCTGCGTTTCAATTAATTATTGCACAGTTAATTCACATATATTTGACCATCCAAAGTTTCACACATAATTAATGTACCCAATTTTTTCCTGATTGCCATTTATGGATTTTAGAAAAATGGAACATGAGAACAACTCAGCCAGGCCGCTTCCTCTTTAACATATATATATTGTAGGTCGCATATTGTATTTAGCCACAACTGATTGCGGAAAATAAATGGTTTTGTTTTCCTCTCCCCTGAGTTGCTGCCGGTTTTGGGAGGTTAGAAATAGGAGACATTTTACCCTCCTTGTTGATTTCACTTTGAGTGGTAAAAAGTGAGGGAGGGAAATGAACTCAGACAGGCAAGAACTGGAGTGACTCCTGTCTGTTCTTTTGGGGAGCAGGCAGCCATTTTGTTCCCCTAGAAAGGAAGAGGAACCTCCATGTCACCTTTCCTCTCTTTCCCTCAGTGACCTCCCAGGACAATACAACAAAAGAGTACAGCCGTGATGGCGACCCTATGGCACGCATGCTAGCCCTCTTTGTGGACACGCGAGCTGTCTTCCTAGCTCAGCTCCACCGCACATGTGTGCACGCCTCCCGCCAGCCAGCTGATTTTTGGGTTTCTGCCACACATGCGCGGGGGCAGGGCGCATGCAGGGGACATCCAATCGCATGCACAGGAGGAGGGGAGCGCAGGGGGGCACACCCCCCACCAGCCGTTTTTTTGTCCCGGGAGGCTGCAGGGAGGCCTGCTAGGCCCAAAATGTTGTAAATCGAGCAAACTGTTGTAAATCGAGGACTTCCTGTATAAGAAACCACTTCAGAACAAGAATGTGTGGCTACCTGCGAAAGCTGTGCCTGCCAGAGTCTTCCTCTCGAATACAGGTAGTCCTCGACTTATGGCCGCAATTGAGCCCAAAGTTTCCGTTGTTAAGCAAGACATTTGTTAAGTGGATTTTGCCCCGTTTTACGACCTTTCTGGCCACCGTTAAGTGAATCGCTGCAGTTGTTAAGTTAGTAACAATTGCTAAGCGAATCTAACCCTCATTGACTTTGCTTGTCAGAAGGTCGCAAAAGGGGGTCACATGACCCCAGGACACTGCGACCGTCATAAATATGAACTTGTTGCCAAGCAAGTCTGAATTTTAATCACATGACTGGGGATGCTAGAATGAGTGAAAAACGGTCCTAAGTCACTTTTTTCGGTGCTGTTGTTAGCAGTCACTAAATGAACTGTTGAGGACTACCTGTAAAGTTCACCTTTGCTTCAAGTACAGGTAGCCCTCGACTTCAACAGTTCATTTAGTGACCATTCAAAGTTACAACGGCAATGAAAAAAAAGACATGTGATTCTTTTTCACACTTACGACCGTTGCAACATCCCCATGGTCACACGGTCAAAATTCAGAAGACTCATATTTATGACCATTGCACTCTCCTGGGGTTCACATGATCAGCTTTTGCAACCTTATGACAAGCAAACTCAAGAGAGAAGCCAGATCATTTAACAACCGGGTTACTTAACTTAACAAATGCAACGATTCACTTAACCACTCGGACAAAAAAAAAAGTCATAAAACGTGGCAATGTCACTTAACAAACGCAGAGGGCAGCGGGGGTGGGGGGACAGGCTGTGTTTGGGAAAGCCCTGCAGGAACAAACAGGATCCCTCGTGTCAACAGATTAACAGAGTTGGAAGGGACCTTGTAGGTCATCTAGTCCAACCCCCTGCCCAAGCAGACCCTGCACCATTAACTCTGAGCTACGATATAATATGAATATAAACGGAGAGCAAACCCCACTCCTTTTAAGCACTGATGAGGTTACCTAGTTGGGTAATGAAACGTCTGTGTGACAACAAGCAAGCTTAGAGAGCACCAAGGACCCCTCCCAGAGGGGTTCCCAGAAGGCTGGCGGGGCAGGGCTAGGCACCCTCTGGATCGAAGATGCAGAGGGCACTCTGGGGAGGGGGGGCCCAGCTGCGCTTGGGGAAGCTCTGCAGGAATGAGCAGGTGGGCGAGAGCTCCGGATGCCCCGACAAGAGGATGTTCATCCGGGAACCTCCTGCACTGAGACAGGATCCTCCTGGCATTGCAGGTCACTTGGGAGCTGCGCCCCATCTGGCGGCACAGGGTTCGGGATGGGCCAAGACATCGCCCTCGTGTGGTTCTGCCGGAGTTTATATGTGATGCTCTGCAGGGCCCATTTGCCCTCCTGCTCCTGGATCAGGGGTGAAATCCTCTGAAGTCTGCTACCGGTTCTTTGAGTCTGCTACTGAGCGTGCACTTTGCACGCGTATGCACACTTGAGGCACGCCCATGAAGCGCTAAAAGAACATTTTGAAGACTTCCGAGTCTGCAAAGGTAAGTAGAACAGCGAGGGGGGGGGATCCACTGTGCCACACAATTTAGATTAGCTAGAAAGCAGGAAATCTGACGATTCTAGTTAATATAAATTGCGCGTCACAGCTGATTGTCGGAAATACAGTTCCCCCAACCGGTAGCATTTTTTACTACTGGTTCTCCTGAACCGGTAACATTTCACCCCTGTACTGGATCCTCCTTTCGGCTTTCAGCCACTCGACCGGCTGCTCTTGCCACAGACTGAAGTCCCACACAGCCAGCTCCACAAGGGGAAGAGCCGGGGGTGGGACAGCCCGTCCCCCACCTGTACTTGGCAGTGCCCGACACCCAGGATGTCCAAGGGTGGCTCCAGTCCAATCCCATCTGCATCAATCCGCCATTTTCTGGCGTCTTTCCATTTGTCTTCTGATGACTCGGACTAACAGAATCACTGAGTTGGAAGGGATCTTTATTTATTTATTTATTTATTTATTTTTCATATTTGTATACCGCCCTACTCCCGAAGGACTCAGGGCGGTGAACAGCCATAATAAATACAAATACATATAGAAGAGAGGTCTTAAGAGGTCTTCTAGTCCAACCCCGTGGCTCGAGTAGAAAACCCTGTACCATTTCAGACCAAGAGCCTTGGTAGTACAGTGGTCTAAGGCACCCTGTTATTAAGCTGGTTATTAAGACCAGCTGCCTGCAATTACTGCAGGTTCGAATCTCGCCAAGGCTCAAGATTGACTCAGCTTTCCATCCTTTCTAAGGTAGGTAAATTGAGGACCCAGTTGTGGGGGCAATAAGCTGACTTTGTATAAATATACAAAAGAATGAAGGCTATTGCTTAGCGCATTGTAAGCCGCCCTGAGTCTCCGGAGAAGGGCGGCATATAAATCATTTTTTTTTTAAAAAAAGGCTCAAAATTAGTCACAAGTAATTACCCGAAGTAAGAGAGTCCGCTTTGGACGGCGCAGATGAAACTGAGGGGCGAATGGGAATTATTACAACATTCATTGGCTTTTCTGGATTAATAAAAATAAACTGAATGCATGGGGAATGGATTTTTAATCATGTTTTAATTAGTTTGAGAAACTATCGACTAGGAATAAGGAGGAAAGTGTAGAGAATGGGTGTTGTGGCCCGCCAGTGGCTTGCGCGGATCGTGGCTGATCCCAACAATGAGGAGGCTGGTGTGGGGTTGCGCCAGCAGCCTGCGCAGCCAACGCTCACGTCGGACAGCGAGGAGGCTGAAGAGGATGTGGTGCCAGAGGCAGAGACTCAGCGAGAGCCTTCAGAACCTCCAGAGGCTCCTTCAAATGGAGAGAGTGAAGTGGAGGAGCCTCTCCTCAATACTCGAGCACGCAGGGCTGC